TCTCCTCCTCCTCCCTCCCTCCTCCCTCCTCCTTCCTCCTTCCTCCTCCTCCTCCTCCCCCTTTCCCCCCCTCCCTCTCCTCCTCCTCCTCCTCCTCCTCCTGCTCCTGCTCCTGCTCCTCTTCCTCCTCCTCCTCCTCCTCCTCCTCCTCCTCCTCTTCCCTCCTGGTCGGGGCTCGAGAGACGGGGGTCAATGCAAGCGGGGGTCAGCCAGAGCGCCGAATCTTGCAGGGTCCTGCAGGGCCAGGGGTGCACTGACCCTGGCTTGGGTGCAGGATCCTGCAGGGTCCTGCAGGGTCTCGCAGGATCCTGCACGGCCTGACCGACCCGGGCCTGGATCGACCCCGGGCCAGAAAGGTCCCCGACCGGGGCCGCGGGGGTGGGCGGGGCGTCGGAGGAGGGCGAGTGGAGACAGCGGCACTTGGCCTTCGGGGGGCCCCTCTCGTCGCTGCGGCTGGACGCAGCTCGAGAGCAGATGGCGCCTTTGGGCCGGAGAGGGGGTGCGGGGACCGGTCTTGGGCTGCCGTTCTCTCGGCTTGCCCTGCTTCGAGTCACCACCCACAAAAAACCACCCCAACCCAACCCGAAGGCTCAGATTAGCCCTCGATCTCCAGTGGGGGGGGTCGGGAAACATCGAAAAAACACGTGTGGAGCCCTTACCCCCCCCAACCCGAAATTCGGGTCTTCGGGTTGGGTTGGGGTGGTCTGGTAGGTAGTCATCGAGGGGATGGGGCAGACTGGGGGGCGAGGTGTCGGGCGGTCCGCCGCCGGCCTCGCGCCGCCTCTCCCTCGTCCTCCTCCTTCCACCTCCCCCTTCCCCGCTGGCCCTTCTCGGTCTCCTCGTCTTCCTCCCTGCCTCCCTTCCTCCCTTCTTCCTCCTCCTCCTCCCTTCTTCCTCCTCCTCCTCCTCCTCGTCTTCTTCCCTGCCTCCCTTCCTTCCTTCTTCCTCCTCCTCCTCCTCCTCGTTCTCCCGCGTCGTCGCTGCCGTCGTCGCCGTTGTCGCCGCCTCCGCCGCCTCCACCGCCTCCGCCGTTGCCGCCGCGCCGCCGCCGTTGTCGTCGTCGGCGTCGTCGTCGTCTTCGTCGTCGTCGTCATTATCGTCAACGCCGTCGCCGTCGCCGTCGCCGTCGCCGTTGCCATCGCCGCCGCCGCCGTCGCCGTCGCCGTCGCCGTCGCCGTCGCCTTCGTCGTCGTCGCCGTCGTCGTCGTCGTCGTCGTCGTCGTCGTCGTCGTCGTCGTCGTCGTGGTCGTCGTCGGCGTCGTCGTCGTCGTCGTCGTCGTAGTTGTCTTCGTCGTCGTCTTCGTCGTCGTCGTCGTCGTCGTCGTCGTCGTCGCAGGAGTGGCGTCGCCCAGAGCGGCCAGAGCGGCAGCTCCGCGAACTCGTACCCTCGCGGCCACAGCAGCAGCTCTGGGTGCTCGTCGCACCCTCTCACTCTCAACCTCGTCGCCGGCGTCGCTGGCAGCACGGTGAAGGTGAAGGCGGGGCGACTCTTCCCAGGAGGATTATGAGACGAGGGAGGGATGATCAGAGTGGCGAGTGAGATGATCCGAGACGGGGACAAATTCCCGCCTCTCAAATGATAATGTTGCGTTCCAGGATTTCCAAGTTTTCTTGTTGTCCCGCGCAGCCAGATGCGAATGGCCAAGGGCCGATGGAAACTCCAGACTTCCCAGATCGCATCCTGAGAATGAGGAGGAGGAGGACTGCAAGACTTTACGCTCCCCTTGGGTCGAATACTTGTTCGATGCGGAGATCCCCATCTGTACATCTATTGGCCCACTCTTTTCCCGCTGCGAGTGTCTGCGTGCCAGGGAGTCTAAGCATCAACGGGTCTGAGTATGATGCTTACGGAGGGTGAGTCTGTGTGAACGAATGTGTGAGGCAGTCTGCGTGGGGGCGAGTCCAGGCGCATGAGCCTCCGAGCGTGGGTGGGAGCGTGAGAGGTCTGTGCCTGTTGGTGCTCTGTCTCGCCACCAGTGCCCTCCACAGCCTTTTTGCGGCAAAAAAGCTCTTGCGCGCGCGCAGGCGCGCTCCCGGAGCGCACGCCGCCGTGCATGCTCCGGGCGGGCCTCGGCCTGGCGTGCGCCTGTGCCCTCGCCTCTGCTCGGGGCCCGGGCCCCTCGAGCTCCTGGGGGCCGCGAGTGCTCGGGCTGCCCAGACGACTGCGCACGCCGGTGGCCGAGGGCCCGGCCTGCTCCGGGCGTGCTCCCCGGCGCCCACCTGCCCGCCGTGCCCCTACACCTTGGGCGATGCTTAAGAAAACTTAATTTTTCGGCCAGACTCTCGATTATTCTTAATATTTCAATGTAAATCCTAAGATTTGAATGGAAATTTTGGGTTTTTATTCAAGTTCTGAGACTCTGAATTTCTTAACCCATGATTTCTTAAGCATTTCGCAGGGTGTACGTGCCCGGCGCTCTCCCCGCGGACTTCCACACTGCCGCCGCACCTGCCCAGCGGGGGCGCGGGTGGCAGATCCAGCGCCACGGCCGGGCCACGTGGATTGCCGGTGCCCGCCTCCCTCGGGCGGCTATTCGGGGGGTTCGCGGCGGGCGTGGGCAGCGGTGCCGCCGTCGTTGGGGGAACAAGAAGTGACACAGGCATGAAAACTCGGAGGTCCGCGCGGATTTCTCGGATCGGCGCTGGACCCCCCTCCCTGGCGCGCGGAGCGCGCCAGGGGCGGCGCCGGAGGCGCCGCCGGGGGGCCCCAGCGCCGATCCGAGCAATCCGCGCGGACCTCCGAGTTTTTATGTTTCTGTCACTCTTTGTTCCCCTATTGAGTTTAGGTGGCGACAACGCTAGATATCCCCGAGCTGCAGGTCACCGTGAGGTTTCGGGACGACCCACACTTCGAGTGCCATTGGCGTGTGCTGGTGGGCAGGGTCGCGGACCCGCGCTGGGCAGGTGGTACCCCGGACCTGCGCTCGCAGATCATCAACTTGGCGGAGCTCCACGTGATCCCGCTGACGCGGGGGCAGCCTGTGCCAGCGAGGGTGCGAGCGAGCTACTACGGGCCCGACGCGTTGACGGACCAGCAGCTGGCGGAGATCCGGCGCGAGTGCGGGGCACTGGCCATGATTCATGGGGCCGCACTCGGACCTCCTGGCGCCGCGGCCTTGGCCGCGGAGTGGAGGTTCTCGGACGCTGTCTTCGCGAAGTTCGGGGGCGTCGTCGACTCGGCGGTCATCGCCAACCCGAACGTTCGTGTCCAGGGGCGCCACCGCGCTGGTGCGGGTCGAGGAGGACGGCGAGACCCTCTGGACTACTGCCGAGCGCCTGGTCCCAGAACGCTTGGACGAGTGGAAGGAGGAGAAGAGGACGGGGCCCGGGCGCGACCCGATGATACTTCCAGTCGAGCGCGACTTGACGCGTGGTTGTTATCGGGTTCTGCGGTCCGCGATGGGCGAGATGACTTGGATCGATCCCAAGAAGCTGGAGTCGGACTGGCCTTTCGGGGGGTCGGCCGTGAAGGAGCTCCTTCACGCCCTGAGGGCGTCAGGAGAGGAGTCGGGCGGCTTCCGCGACTGGGTTCGCAGCAGCGGCATCGGGGCGGACAGCCAGATCAGCTACAAGCACCGCGACCTGCTCGCGACTCTCCTCCACTTCTGCAACTTCGACCAGCTCAACCTGGGGGAGCTCGCTGGGGCGGAGCATGCTGCGAGACTCGTGCTGCAGCTCCACTCCGCGGTCGAGAGGAGCCCGAAGGCGCTAGACTTCAAGGGGCGACCGTCATGGTGGCCTCGAAGCTGGATTCAGCGGGCGGGGTCCTGGTTGGGGATTTCGCGCGGTGCGTGGCGGGGGAGCAGCGGGCGCGCGTCTGCGCCTTGGATCGGCAACGCTTGTACGCCGAGGAGGAAGAGAAGCGGGCGGCCAAGAATAAGGAGAAGGACAAGGCCTAGCTTCTTCCGCACCATGGTGGCTGGGCGCGCGCTGAGCTTGGCGCTGGGCCCTGCGATGGTGAGGCTGGCGACTCGGTGCCGACCTCGTCGTCGCCTTTCCAGCTGCCGCTTGCGGCCGATCGCGAGCGGGGGGTCGGGCCTGCCAACCGGGGGGCCGCCCGCCGGAGGGCCAGACGGGAGCGCTCCGAGACGCCGTCGCCTCGCCCAACGCGCTCGCCGACTCGGGGGCGGGCCAGGGGCCGCAGCTTGCGATGCCCCGCCGCAGTCCTGAGCAGGATCCGTCGGACTGCCAGCGCTCCATGCTCGCCGACGCCGCCTTGATGGCCATGCTTTTCGACCCGCCAAGTCCGAATTCCTCCTTCGAAGAAGGGGCAGCGGTCGTCGTCCATCTACGACGGGGCGGATGCCTCGACCGCCGCAAGGTACGCACCGACCAAGATCAAGGTGCTGGAGTCCGCGCTCGGCCGATCAACGCCAGGGAGCTGGTCGGCGATGTCGCGCGGGAGTACTCGACAACCGGAACGCCAAGATCGTCCTCGATGCCCGCGCCAGAGCCGCCGTCACCGAGCCGATCCAGACACTACGGGGCCCCTCGCTCAGGCAGCCGGGTCCACGGCGGCGGGACCTCATTCGGCGATTTGCGGTTGTTGGACTCATCGCCTGCCGACGACGACGTCTCGGACGCGTCGGCATGTTCTTTGTCAAGAAGAGAAACAAGGACTCGATCCGCCTCGCGCTCGACGCTCGCCCAGTCGACGAGCTCCACAAGAGGCCTCCGAAGTCTGGTCTGACAACTCCTGGTGCTCTCTGGTGCCTCAACCTCAGTTACTAGTGGTTCGAAATATGTGCCGAGGACTCTTCCCAGCCTGGGGTTCACCCCAGGCCAGTTGGCGCCCTCGGGGAGGAGTCTTGTGAGGTCTTTATCTCGGGCGCTGGGGTCGACCTCGAGGATGGTTTCTACCGGTTCGGACTGCCCGCCATGGCCTCCTGGTTCTGCCTGGGCGAGGTCCGCGCCGCTGGTGAGTTCAGTGTCTCCACGGTCCACGACGAGGAGACGGGGGAGATGGGGCCAGTCAGCCCTGACGACCCGTTGTGGACCTGCTTCGGCGGACTGGCCATGGGCTGGTCGCGGGCGCTCTTCTTCTTCTGCCGCGGCGCGCTGGAGGAGGCGAGCCACTGGCGGACTGGCGGCCGAGCCCTGCTTTTGGTCCTGGCCTTGGCGTGGTCGCGCCGTGCGTCGACAGCGGGAACGTCGTCGGAGGCTCGCTCGAGGCCGCCGCCGCGCTCCGCGAGGCGCTCGCCGAGGAGCTCCGCGCCATGGGGTTCGTCGCTCATGAGAACGTGGGCACGACCTCCGACCTGGGGCTGGTTGGGGGGCGGATTGAGGGGGCTGGGCGGTCGCTCGCGCCGCGGGCGTCTCGCGCGCGGCGGTTGTGGCGCGCCCTCTGCGAGCTCGAGTTCGCCGAGGGTGGGGCCCTGGCTTGCGTCCGGCGGGTTGTCGGACACGTCGTCGACCAATTCTCGACCAGGCGGGGGCTCCTCTCGTCTGCGCAGTGCCTGTGCCTCTTCTTGGGCGACGGGCGCGGGGAATGGAGAGAGTTCGACGCCGGCGAGCTCGCCGAGATCGGAGTTATCAGAGGACTCCTACTTCTCGCAGTCTCGGACCACGGCCGGCCCATCGCGCAGCGTGTCTGCCGCGGCGACTCGAGCTCGCGCGCCTGCGCCGCCCGCGTCGCAGTGGCCACCCCGCGCCGCTCGCGCGCCGGCGCCGCCCGCGGGCAGCGGCCACTTGCCGCGAGCGTTGTAGGTTCCGGGAGCTGGGCGACGAGCACGCGGACGGCTGCGGTGCCGGTGCCTTGCCCGACGGGGACGCGGAGCTGGAGGCCGGCGGGGGACGTTTAGCGCTTGGGCCGCCCGTGAGGTGGAGCAGGAGCTGGGGCGGCTGCGCGGGCTGCGGGGCGTCGCTATCCTGAGGGGGGCGCAGCGGGGCGACGTCGTGGAGGTCGTTGAGGTGGTGCCTCCTCTTGGCACTGAATGGGGCCCTTTCCGCCGGTGGAGGTGCATTCGAGCTGGGAGTTGGAGGCGGCCTGATCGCATTCGCAACCTCGATGCACGGGCTGCGCTCGTGGGGCCTGCTGACCACTCCAGCGGCGCTGGTGACTATGACGCCGTGGTGCTGTCCCTGGGCGACAGCGTGGCCGAGGTCCTCGCGTGCGATCGCGGGCGGGCCCGAGCTTGGGAGCTGCTCTCGTTCCTCCGACGGGGAACCGCCTGGCAGGTGTCTGTCAGTGCGCAGTGGGCGCGAAGGCGCATCTGCGCCGACCGCGACCCCAGGGGCTTCGCCTCGAGGTTGCGCTGGCGAGCCGCAGAGCAGAGTGTCCAGGGCCGAGCTGCTGAATTATTGCGAGACGCTGGTCGCCTGGCCCATGCGCTCGCCCGCGGCGATGGGGCCGACGGCGGCCGCCCAGGAGCTTGAACCCCTCTCTGCAGCCGCTTGCCGTTGGCGACTCGCCGAGGGGCCCCGCGGCGAGGACGTCGAGGCCGCCGAGCCCGAGCAGGGCGCGCCCGCGGCCGCGGTGGACGGCGCTTCTGCGGCGGCCGACCAGGGCCGCGGCTCGGGGGCGGGCGGCGCTGCTCGTCGCATCCGTCACCGCGAGCTTTTCGCCGGGTGTTGCCGCCTCGCCGCCGGGGCGTTGGCTGTTGGGCTCCGCTGTGCCGTTCCAGTCGACGTCGCCAGCGCGGAGTATTTCGACGTCGCCAAGTCCCAGGTGTCCGACGCGACCGCGCAGTGGATCCCGTGCGGCTCCATCTGGGCCGTTGCGCTCGGGGCCCCCTGCGCGCGGTGGAGGATTGTTCGGCGAGGTGGCGAGGCGGCGGACTCGACCGCGCCGGCCTCCGGTCTCGCCCGCGCCGACTTCACCTGTCGGGTGGCGCGGGCCTTCCTGGGCGCTGGCGCGCAGTTCATCATCGAGAACCTTCGTTCGAGCTGGCTCTGGAGCTGGCCGCCGCTGGAGCGCCAGCTCAGGCGTGCTGGCGCTGAGAATGCGTGGCGCTGGACATGTGTGTCTTCGGCGCGGCGTGGAAGAGGCCGACCTTGCTCGCTGGGGACCTGCGGGGCCTCGAGCGCATGGAGGCCATCTGCCCGGGGCATGCTCGGCATGGGGTGCTTCGAGGCTCGGTGCACCTCCTAGCCGCTGGTTCGGCGCCTCCGCGTTGGCGGTGGAGGACCTCGTTCGCTTCAGCGTGCCCCCCCTCGTTTTCGCCGCCGCCAGGCAGGGGTGCTGTGGGATGCCGCCCCGCCGGCCGCCTGGGAGAAGCAGGGGGGGCCTCGCGTCGAGCTGTGGCGGGGGGGGGGGGGGGGCAGCTGGCAGCCTGCCTCAGCCAGAACGTCATCCACTTCATCCACGTGGGCACTCTCCCGTCTATGGCCACGCTCGGCTGTGGGTCAGCGGTCGTGTGCTGGGGCGGGCGGCCGCTCAGGTGGGAGCTGGGCGGCCTCGCCGACCGCCAGAGGTCTGGCCGCTGCCGACCGCCGAGCCGCTGGTCAGCGATGCTGGCATCGCGCTGAAGACGGCCCAGGTTTGCTGCGGCGCCTTGCGGTAGGCCTTGCCACGCAGCAGCGGTGTCGAGACTGCCGCGCGGCAGTCGCCCGCCTCGCCAGGGCGGTTCCAGCCGTTGCCGACCTGGTCCAGTGGGGCGAACTGCTCGTGGAGTGCATGGGGGAGTTCCTGTTCTGTGGCGGGGCCGCGGCGAGTGCAGCCCGCGCCCTCTGCGGAATCGCCTGGGCCCCGTCGAGCCCCCCAGCTGTCCGGCTCAGTCGAAGGCGACCCTGCGGGCTTTCAGCAGGAGAGCACCAGAGAAATCGCGGGATCCCCCCTGCGAGGAGCTGCTCAGACTGTTGGTTGACTCCTTCGTGGCGCAGGTGCTCTATCTCGTGGGCCTCTGCGCGCTGCTGGCCTGGGACTGCTATCTCAGGCCGTCGGGGGCGATCGAGCTCCTGTGCCACCTGTGCGGGGCGCCTCCGTCCAGAAGTGGGGCGTCGCAGCCGCGCCATCGACCCGCGACAGGCCCGCCAAGAACAGGCAGGTTGATGCAGGCGTGGTGGCGGCCTGGCAGGATCGGCACTGGTTCGCGCCCCTGCTGAAGCTGCTCTTCGAGCGGACCAAGCCTGGCCAGCCGCTCTTCGGAGGTCTCACGCTGGCGGCCGTCGAGAAGGCGTTCGCTCGTGCCTCCGACCACCCGGGCTACGAAGTGGTCCCGCATGGGATGCGTCGCGGAGGCCTGTCACATGATGCGTTCGAGAACGGTGTCAGCCTTCCCGATATCCAGAGCCAGGGACGATGGATGTGCGCGGAAAGCTGCCATATCTACATGATGGCCGCCGCGCTGCTTCGTAGTATCCAGGAGGTCTCGCCTCATCATGTGGCTCGTGCGCAAAAGCTCCGGAACTATGTGTCTGGAAGACAGCTGGCCGCTCTCAACAAGATCCTGCGCAATGAAGTGCTGGCAGATCGTGGCACGCGAGAGCGTGATTGAGTTTTCGTTGTTTCCTGGTGAGTAGCCTCGCGCCTCCTCACCCCCTCAGGCACTTGACGCGCGCCATCGCGTCCGCGGTAGTCGATCGTTAAAAAGCAGAGCCGACTGAAGGGGACATTTCTTCCAAGCGGGGATGTATGCGTGTCGGTGTATTATCTCGCTATCGGTGTCCTCCATCGCCTTTTCGGCACCACCCGTTCCCCCAGGGATGTGAGTGTATTTGAGTGTGAGTGGTATGAGTGTGAGTGTGATTGTGAGTGTGCGAGGTCTGAGAGTATCTGAGTGTGAGTGTGGGTGTGGGAGGTCTGACTGGTCTGAGTGTGAGTGTGCGTCGTCGTCGTCGTCGTCGTCGTAGTCATTGTCGTCGTCGTCGTCCTCGTCGTCGTTGTTGTCCTAGTCGTCATCTTCGTCCTGGCGGGTCTGGGCTCCGAAGCAGGCGAGCCGCCTGAGGCATCCCCACAATCTGGGCGCGAACAAACCCGTGATATACCTCCTGGCGGCTCCCCCTTGGGAGTGCTGAAGCCAGCGCCCCGCCGGAGACATCTTCCCGCCCTGCTGCGGAACCAGAGGCTGATGGGTACCCAAGCAGGCAAACCGCCTGAGACATCCCCACAATCTGGGCGCGATTCCTGGAGTGTCCCCACTCCTGGCGGCTCCCTCGTTGGGAATGCTGAAACCAGCGCCTCGCCTGAGACATCCTCATACAATGGTCCGACAACAGAGGATGATGGGCACCCGACCAGGCAAACCGTTAGAGACATCCCCGCCACTTGGGTTGCGAATCCTGGAAGGTTCCCACCCCGGACGGCTCCCCCCCGGGGAGTGCTGAAACCAGTGCCCCGCCGGAGACATCCTCACACATTGCTCCGAAAACAGAGGATGATGGAAACCCACGCAGGCAAAGTGCCAGAGATATCCCCGCAATCTGGGCGCGACTCCTGGAGTGTCCCCATCCCTGGCACCCCCCCAGTAGGAGTGCTAGAACCAGCGCCTCGCCCGAGGCATCCTCACAATCTGCTCCGTAAGCAGAGAATGTTGGACGCCCAGGCAGGCAAACCGCCTGAGACATTCTCACCCACTGCTCCGAAAGCAGAAGGCAATGAGCACCCAGGCAGGCAAACCGCCTGAAACATCCCCACAATCTGGGCGCGACTCCTGGAGTGTCCCCACTCCTGGGGACTCTCTCATTGGGAGTGCTGAAGCCAGCGCCTCGCCTGAGACATCCCTACACACTGCTCCGAAAGCTGTGTGTGTGTGTGTGTCTGTGTGTGTGTGTGTGTGTGTGTGTGTGTGTGTGTTGGGGCCCCAATCAGGCAAACCGCCTGAAACATCCCCACAATCTGGGCGCGACTCCTGGAGTGTCCCCACTCCTGGGGACTCTCACATTGGGAGTGCTGAAAGCAGCGCCTCGCTTGAGACATCCCTACACACTGCTCCGAAATCAGAGGATGTTGGTTACCCAAACAAGCAACCCGCCAGAGAGATCCCCACAATCTGGGCGCGACTCCTTGAGTGTGCCCACCCCTGGTGTCTCCCCCTTGGGGTGCTCAAGTGTCACGCCTTCTATTTCGCGGTGAGCATGTGCCCAAGCGAGACTGAGTAAAGAGAGTTTGAGTGAGTTTGAGTGAGTCTGAGTGGGTCTGAGTATGAGTGAATGAGTCAGAGGAAGAGGGGGAGGAGCGTATGAGGTGTGAGGGGGTCTGGAGGCGTCTGTGTGATATCAAAAACCCCATCTTACGAGCATGCATTTTTTCGGAGGTCCGCACGAATTTCTTGGATCGGCGCTGGGCCACTCCTTCGGCTCCTGCGGCGCCGCCCCTGTCGCGCTCCGTGCGCCAGGGAGGGGGGTCCAGCCGCGACATAAGAAGTCTGCGCGGGCCTTCGACAGTTTATGCTTATGACGCTCAACGATCGTGCCCCCCTTTGGAGTGCCGCGGGGTCAGTATTGGGTCCATCCTAACCGTGTTGCTGCTGTCTTGGTGCCGTCTTGGGGCCCTGTTGGGCCGCCTGGGGGCTCTCTTCGGCCGTTTTGACGCCCTTTTGGTTCATCTTGGGGCGTTCATCGGGGCTTCTCTGGCGATCTTGGGCGCCCGGAGGAGCGAAGAAACGGCCTCTGGATCTCCCCTCCCCCCCTCTGGATCCCTCCCTGCCTCTGGATCCCTCCCTCCCCTCACCTTCCTCCCAGCCCTGTGGCTGCAGGATGGCCGCCCGAGGCCCGCCGCGCCCCCGCCCCCAGCCCCCCCCCCCCGGCCCCCAGCACAGCCCCCCGCGCAGCCGAGGTCGCGCACGGCGCGACCGTCGAGGCGCTGCCGGAGGGCGGCATCATGCTCATGGGCGGCTACGGGTGCCACATCCTGGAGGGCGTGTGGGAGACCTCGGGCGGCAAGGGCGGGGAAGCCGACCCGGACCCCAGAGATCCAGCGCATTGAAGAAAGCAAGACGGAGGCTTCCCGCAAATTTCGGCCCCCAGGGGCCCTCGCCGGGCCTCGGGGCCGTCAAGGAACGACTCAGGATCAAAAACCGGTCCCGGGGAATGGGTCAAGACTGCCGGGGAGCGCGAATTGAACAAATCATGACATCGGATCTCTGGGGGCTTGCTCGCGTCGCGAACAAACGAGACGACCAAAAAACGACGGACAGACTTCGGCTGGTCTCTCGGCCTCCGGAGGCCCTCGCCGGGCCCCAGGGGGGCCGTCATAGACAACGGCTCGGGATGGGCGGCCGACCCCGGGGGAGAGAGCTGGGGCGTCTGGGGGTGCGTACAGTGGAAGCCCACGCCAAGAATCACTCTGCATGCCTCCAGGGTGCCCTGGGTTTCTCGGGCTTCGATGGTTTTGGCATGGGAAGCGCGACGTTCCCACACCAGAACTCCATGGACGTCCTGGGTGGGGTTCCTCAGGGTTGGGTTTCTTGTGGAAGGTCTCCTGTGGACCGGCCTCCACTGTATGGCAAACTCCAGACGTCGCACATCTGGGAGCGCCTCCGACGCAGCATTGTCAGGAGGGAAAAAAACACACAGACACAATTCATCGTCGATCCCCCGAAAATATGGGAAACTATGGGAAGGGGTGGGGAGGACGAAGACCCAGAAAATATGGGAAAATATTGGGGATCCTGATATTTGTGTGTCCCAGGGCCCCTTCACATTGGTTTGTCGTGGCGTGTGTGTGTGTGTGTTTTTCCCACAGTTTTTTTTTTTCTTTCCCCCCCCCACAGACTGTGTTTTTTTTGTATGTTTCTTACACAGTGTTTTTTTCCCCCACTGTGTGTGTGTTTTTGTGTGTGCGTGTGTTTTGTGTGTGTGTGTGTTTTGTGTGTGTGTGTGTGTGTGTGTGTGTTTTTTTTTTTTTTTTTTTTTTGTGTGTGTGTGTGTGTGGGTGTTTTTTTTTTTTTTTTTTTGTTGTTGTGTGTGTGTGTGTGTGTTTGTGTTTTTTCCCACAGTGTTTTTTGGCCCCTTTCGCACTGGTGTGCCGTGGCGTGGGCCCCCGGGCATCCCTCGGCCCCTGCCCCGCGGAGCCGGAGCTCTTCCTTCTGGAGCCGTTGGTCGGCGGCCCCGGGCCCCGGGGGGCCGCCCTCCGGGCGCGGAGGGCGCGGGGACGCCTGCCGTCGCGAGTCGTGCTCGCGCCGCTTCGGCCTCGGCGGCGAGCGTTTTTTTTTTTTTTTTTTTTGTTGTTGTTGTTGTTGTTGAACATTATTACTTCTAAAGAATAATTATTGTTGGGACCCCTGGTGCGCGACCCCCCCGCCGCGCCTAGGCCGCAGCCTCATTTTCATCATTTTCGTGAGGAAGTCTCAGGCAAAACGGGGGAGTCCGGATCCGGTTGTGTTGTTACGATCGGTTTTCCCTTGCAAAAAATAAGCTAAAGTGGACATTTCTTGTTCTAACATAACCAAACTTCAAGAATCCCTTGCAAAAAATAAGGTAAAGTGGACATTCGCGCGCGCAAGACGAAATCCTTCCAAAACCTTAGTGTTCGTAGCGATTTTAACATAAAAACATCAAAAAACCAATGGTTTTTCAAAAAAAAAGTGTCAAAATTTCATCCCGCGCGCTCTTGCGGATTCGTAGGAAACCCAACACTTTTTAAACATTTCTGTCAAACGGGCTTTTGCGAGCAACTTTTTCGAACTTCTGCAACAACGGTTGCGCACCTGCCAGGGCCATCATCCCTGTCAAATAATACCATGCGGGACACATTCGTTTTTTCTTCGCGCGCGCACGCCGTCGTCGTCGGCCGCGGGGCCCTGAATAGTAGCCACGGTCGTCCGCATGCCACGAAGTGAAGTGTCCGAACGTCATAGGGCGGGAAGCTGGGTGTGGGTGGTGGCGAAGAGTCGTTTGGAAATTTGGTAGAGCTTGAACCGGCCCCCCCACAAAGTGGGGTATTGCCCGCCTCCTATGAAAACCCTGGCACTGGTGAGAACGGTGTGTCCCCACGTGCTAGTAATTGTTGTTGTTGTTGTTGTTGTTGTTGTTGTTGTTGTTGTTGTTGTTGTTGTTGTTGTTGTTGTTGTTGTTGTTGTTGTTGTTGTTGTTGTTGTTGTTGTTTGTTATGTACATATGTATATATACACATATATACATATATATAGGTATGTTATATATATATATTATATATATATATATATATATATATTATATAATTATATAAATCAAAAACACAAAAAAAAACAGGGCGGCGGGGCCTCTCGGAAGCCCTCGCGCCTTCTGAGAAGCTTCCTGTTTGTCTTCGGGGGCGGCCTCGCTCTGAGGCTCCGCCGCTTCCTCCCCCCTCTTTTCTGCCTAATTCGAGCTTCGCGCGGCCCGCTTAGCTTCGACCGGAAGAGGTGCGCTCTCGACCCGCGGATCAAAAAACTGTTCGTCTTCGGGGGAGGCTTCTCGAACGCTTCTCAGAAGGCCGGGGGGCCTCCGAGAGCCTCCCGAGGAGGGCTGCTCCTGCTCGCTCCCCACGCCCGCTCGCCGCCGATGGGTGTGAGGGAGTATAGGCCGAGAGAGCCCTCCCGGGAGGGGCCGCCGGGTGCGGGGATCATGTCGTAGCAGCCTTGGCGTCGCTCGGACGTGTGCACTTTTCTCGGCGAGAACCGCCGAGGACCACTCTGGACCGTCGCGCAAAAAAAAAAACACGCACGGAACCGAATCAGGCACGGGAGATGGACGTCCGAGCGACGGCAAGCCGCCGCCAGGTCTTCGAGGGCTTCGGTCTTCTGTTGCTCTCCTGGCTGCGGCTGCCGCGGCTGCTGCGGCTGCTGCTCCGCTGCGCTGCCGCAGCTCCCCCCCTCTCTCCATCCGCTGTTTCTGCGGTTCACCCGCTCCGGCCGGGGCTCCACTCTATGTCTCGAAGCCGCGAAGGAACGAGGAGGAGACTCGGCGGCGAGCGAGGGGGGGAGAGTGAGAGGGAGAAGGCCTTCTCTGAAGGTTAGAAGGCCCCCGGGCCTTCTGAGAAGGTCTCGAGAAGCCTTCCCCGAAGACGAACAGAAGGCTTCTCAGCAGGCGCGAGGGCTTCTGAGAGGTCTCGCGCCGCCTTCTGAGAAAAAGGCCCTCTCCTCTCCACTTCCACCCCTTCGCCCGCCGCCGAGAGAGACGGACGACACCCTTCGCCACGTGGAAAGCAGCGACGGCCGTCTACTTCCAAAGTGTCGGGCGCCGAGGCCGCCGGGCGACCGCCTTGGATTTGGACACCCGAAATGGGTACCGAAAGAATGGGTACAATGCCCAACAACAAATGTTGTCTCAAACCAACAGCGGCTGCTGTTGGGCAGGCGGCCTTCTGTTTCGAATGGACACACGCCGCGGCGGCGTGGACAGCGAGTCCTGTTCAAAATGAACAGGAACTGCTGTTGGGCATCGTACCCATTCTGTCAGTACCCATTTCGGGCGTGCAAATTGGAGTGAGGCACTGGGTGCCCGCGTGGGGGCCGAGAGCGCCAGGGGCTCTCATCCTGGAGGGCATGTGGTTCGGCAGCAAGTCATGGGAGCTTGGTACTCCAGATTTCGTAATAAAGGGAGGGGGGTCTCATTTCGGGGGGGGGTCTCTTCCAGGCTATCTCGGAGGGCCTGGGGGGTCTGGGGACGGTGTTTTGGAGGGTTCTCCCACGGGGGGGGTCTGAAATGGCTTGTCTTGGAGGGTCCAAACCCCCTCCCTTTTATTACGAAATCTGGAGTATCCCCTCTCAATTCAGTATGTAGCGTCGATTCGCGTCGACTCGCGTCGATCAGCCTCGAATCAACGTCGATTAGCGTCGGCCAGCGTCGATTGGCGTCGATTTAGCGCCGATTAGCGTCGACTAGCGTCGACGAGCGTCGATCCGCAAGAGCCGACAAGATGGTATGGGAGGCTCGCACGAGTTCCCGCCGAAGTGCGGGAGACCTGGCTGGCAGCAGCGGGCGCGCAGGAGCGTCTGCGCTCTGAGGCCTCTTGGCCCCTACCCACCGAGCCATCCCGACCCAACCCGAATGCCCCAATTTGCCCTCCACTCCTGGTGTGGGGTGTGGGGGGGGGGGGTCGGGGAACATTTTGAAAGACTCATTTGACGCCCTTACCCCCCCAACCCGAAATTCGGGTCTTCGTGTTGGGTTGGGGTGGTCTGGCAGGCTGGGGCTTCTGCAGGTCTCTAGAGAGCAAGTTGGGGGAGCTTGCCAGGCAGGGAGTCCCGACCGGCTCAGAGGGCGAGTTGGGGGAGCTGGCCGAGCAGGGAGTCCCGCCCCAGACGACACAACTACAGATTTTCTGTACATTTTGGATCCCCCCAAATCCCCCCAAATCGTATCATCGAAGGAGGAAGGTACCACGTTCACAAGAACATCAATGCAGGGAGTCCCGCCCCAGACGAAAACACCAGAGTTACAGATTTTCTGTACACCGTGGATCTGCAAAAAATCACATTTTCAAACGAGGAGTGCACCACACCTAGAAGCAAGAACAAGCAGCACAAATCCCCCGCGACGGATCCAGGCCTCTTGTGAGCAGTCACTCTGCGAGCGGTGGAGCGCGCCCGTCTACCGGACGGCGAGTTTTGGGGGAGCTGGCCGGGCAGGGAGCCCCGCCCCCGCCTCCTCCTGCTCGCCTCCTCCCCGACACCGACGCCGACGGCGAGGTCGGCGGTGGCGGCTGCAGTGGCCACATTGTGGAGGGCAGCATCCAACCTCCTCCTCCTCCTCCTCCTCCTCCTCCTCCTCCTCCTCACGAACTGGGCCACCTTCTGGAGGGCAGCACCCATACCTACACGGCCCCTAGAGTTAGTTCCTGGGGCGGCACTGTGGGGAGGGGGGGCGTGGGGGGGGGGGGCTCTGTGGGTGCGTGTTGTCTGCGGGGGCTCCCCGCTCGAGTGGGACCCCCCCTCCCCCCGGGGCCCGACCGTGCGCACCCATACCTGTGTAGCGCGTTCCTCGCCCTGCCCTTCCCCATTTCTCCTCCCCATGGGTTTGAGTGTGTGTTGTTCGGTGACCGCCTCTGCCGGCCTGATCCGATTCGATTCCGATACTCCGACGATCGATAATGGAGGATGACGATTCATAAAAATGACAGGGGGTCGTGTTCACGCGGCGGCGCCCGGGATGACGGTTAGAAAACGCCGGCCGCGGGCTGGAAAACTATTTTTTAATCGTTCTCCTCCAGTCAGAAAATTATGCAGAAACAGCAGAAGACTTTTTTTTAAAATCGTTCTCTCCCATTTTTTTAAAGTAATCGTCATCCCGCATTATGGCCAGATGCTTGCAGGGGCGCTGTTGTGCGCCCTGGCGCGGCCGATCCGACTTGGCTCCGGCGCCGTGGCGGTGCGGCACGATCCAGCGCACGTGCCGAGCCGATCCTGTTGCCCGACTCGATCCTGACTGGCCCTGTCCGCTCTTCCTCCTCCTCGTTCTCTTTTGCCGCCGTTCTCCAAATAACCCCTCCCTCCTCCCCCTCCTCCCCCTCCTCCAAATAACTCCCCCTCCCTCCTCCCTCCCCCTCCCTCCTCTCCCTCCCCCCCCTCCTCCCCCTCCCCTCCCTCCTCCCCCTCCTCCCCTCCTCCCCCTCCTCCCCCTCTAATCCCCTTTCCCTCCTCCCCCTCCTCCAAAGAACTCCTCCCTGTCGCACCGCCGCACGTGTCGGCAGGGCGGGCCAAGCGTTTCGCCTGAGATCTCCTCGCCATTTACGATCCTGAGTCTTGGAATTTGCTACATTTTCACGGGCAGAGGGCGTGTCGGTTTCAAAATGAGGCTCTCACTTCAGCGCTTTGAACGTTCATTTTAAACATTAATAGCAGTTTCGTGGATGGAGGGTGATTTTCAAAAAGTGGCTCTCGCCTTTGCGCCGTGCACATTCGTCCTACAAGTTTGCAAGCGTTTCACGGATGGAGGGCGGGTTGTTTTCAAAATGTGGTTCTCGCTTTAGCGCCGCGCATGTTTGTCCCAGCTGTTTGTGACAGTTTCAGGGATTTGTATGGTCGAAGTTCCAGGAATGGTGTTCTGTCGCGATTTAGAAATGTCTGGGCGCAACAGTCGCACTTATTCGCGGTGTTGAATTCCCAGGTATAGTTTTCTGGCAAGTTTCAGAAATCTCAGGACGCAACAGTCATGATCCGTGGCGTTGAATTCGCAGGGGCTGTTTTTTGGCACGATTGAGGATTCTCAGGCGATTGCCTTCTTATGGGCCGCTTGCTGCAATGAGCATAAACTCTTTCAGGGACCTATGAAGAGGGAACTTCAAGGGAGGGTTCACTGAGACACCGATGATGTATCTTGTGTTTGCACTGCTCCTCCTCCTCCTCGTTTCGCTTCCGTCTCCTCCTCCCTCCTCCTCCTCCTCCTCCTCCTCCTCCTCCTCCAACTCCTCCTCCTCCTCCTCCTCCTCCTCCTCCTCCTCCTCCTCCTCACCCTCCTCCTTCTCCCCCTCCTCCTCCTCCTCCTCCTCCTCCTCCTCCTCCTCCTCCTCCTCCCCTTCCCCCCTGCCCCAGGCCTCCGCGAGGGGCCTGCCCCACCCGAGCCTCCCTGCCTGGGCGAGGAGACCCAGCAGATCAAGAAGCAGCTCACCTCCCGGGGGAGAGCCGACAAGCGGCCCGGCGCGGCGGAGCCTGCGGCACAGGCCGGGCCCCCTTCCTCCCTCCTCCCCCCGTCCGTCCGTGGTCCGCTCTCCTGCCTGGTCCCTCCTCCCTCCTCCCCCCTCTCCTTTCTCCCCCCTCTCCCCCTCCTCAAAAAGCCCTCCCCTGCTCCTCCCCCGCCTCCCCTCCCCCCACCCCCCTCGCGCCGCCTCCTCCGGCGCTCTCTCCTCCCCTCCGTCCCTCTTATCTCGGCTCCAGCCCAGAGCGAGCGCCCTGCAGCAGACGGGGCGCCAGGCGAGCAAGCGAGCGAGCGCCGGTCGGCGCGCCCGGCCCGAGCGCCAGACGAGCCCACGGGGCGGGCGAGTCTAAGCCGGCCTGCCTCCAGGCGAGCTGCGCCCCCCTGCCCCCTCCCCCTCCTTCCCCTCCTTTCCCTCCTCCTCCTCCTCCTTCTCCTCCTCCTCCTCCTCCTCCTCCTCCTCCTCTTCCTCTTCCTCCTCCTAGCCGTTCTGGCTGAAGCAGATTTCAGCTTGCTGTCACTGACACTTCAGAACGGCTGGGTGACAGCGGGCCTTTTTGGCGCGGCATCACTCAAGACGGCCCTCTCGCAATGGCTCCCAAGGCTTGGCCTGGTGCTGGCGGCGACAACGCTCGTGGCCCGCGCTGGTCCTGCCGCCATTGTGGGTGTAAGCGCAACGAGAGTTATTTCAGCTACTGCAAGCACTGCAAGAAATGGTGGAACGCCCCCATCGACGACGGCTCGGCGGGGGACAAGGCACGGGGTGACCCAGCGGCCCTTCGTCGTGAAGCTGCTGGCGTCGCCGCTGGACAGGCCACCAAGTCGTCTGTTGCTGCAGCCCCTTCTTCCTCAGCCAGCAAGTCTGAATTGGAGCAGATGGTGCAGCTGTGCGAGAGAGTGGGTAACCAAGTATTGTTACAGCAGGCCCAGCAGGAGTTGCAGAAGCTCAAGGAGTCGTCGGTTCCACCTCAGGAGCGAGCTGACGCCGCTCACAAGGAGATCTCGAAGCTTGAGAAGAAGTTGGACAAGGATCTCAAGGCTGTACACACTGTGGAGCAGAAGCTCGAGACCCTTCGCGCCCAGCTTGAGTCTACTTTGGCGGAACTGGACAAGTACGATGCGGAGTACAAGGCTGCCATTGCAGAGCTGCACCTCACAGTCTCCAAGCCGCAGGCACAGCAGCAGCAGCAGTCCATGCCGACGATCAGCCTCACCGACATCCTGGAGGGCCGCCTCACGGGGCTGCAGGTTGACGACGGGAACCTGTTCGGGCTCGAGGACTACGTCGAGGTGTCGGCGGGAGACCTGGAGGAGGCAGCCCGCCGCAAGAGTCAGATGGCCGACTGTATCAAGGACACGTGCACGAAGCTGTTTGGAGAGCTCAAGAAGCGCGCTGAGGAGCACAAAACCGCGCACAAGGAACAGCAGGAGCGCCTGGCCCACAAGCGTCGTCGCCAGGGTGATGATGGCGGAGACGGCGTGGATGCCGCTGGAGCTGCAGCTGCTGGAGATGTACCCGCTGCAGCTGGAGGTTCGGCGGCGGCGTCTTCTGACAGTGAGGCTGTGCGTACTCCTGCAACTGCTGGTGGTGGAGCCCCAGCGTCCGAGGCGGCTGCGACGGGCAAGGCGCCTCCGCCCGCTCCGCCAGCCAAGGCAGCGGCCCCCCCAGCAGCCCCAGCAGATGTGCGAGCTGCTGCCCGACAGACGGTCCAGAGGGGCGCTCATGCCCCCAGGACCGCGGCGGCAGCGAAGGCTCCGTCTCCAGGGTAATCGAGCCAGGACGGACTCCTCCTTCCCCATGATCCCTTCTTCTTGCCCAGTTTTGGATGATTCGAGTTCCTCGGGGCATCACTGGCGGCGAGATGGATCTTCCTGGGAAAAGCTAGAGTTGGAGTTCGTCACGGCAAACTGTACATCATGGGGCTCCCTCAAGAAGTTTTTAGCCTTGACCACGGCGCACGTCGTCATGTGTCAGGAGCACAAGCTCATCAGCGCCGAGGACCTGCGTAAGGCCCAGGCTTGGTGTGTTCGAAATGGTTGGAAGGTGCATTTTGAGCCAGGAGTTTTGGGACCTGGAGGGGGTCCGTCCTCGGGGGTCGGGGTCCTGGCTCGGTCCTTCCTGGGTCTTCACTACCCCGATTTTGGGCCTCGGGTGAAAGATCATCGAGCCACTGGGGTGTTAGTCCATCTCCCTGGCCAGGCTAGTTTCTATGTTATGAGTGTCTACCTGCAGGATTGCGCTGGCTTGAACGATCTCAATCGAGAGATCCTGGCGTGCACTGCCTCGAGAGCCAAGAGCCTCTCGGTGCCTTTCGTGATCGGTGGGGATTTCAACATGGAACCAGCGACCTTGTGCACCTCGCGGATCCCCGACCGCCTCGGTGCTGAATTTTGCGTTCCCTCGGGTGTCCTTGGCACCTGTAGGTCGACTGGGGGTTTGAAGATGTACGACTATGTTTTGGTTGAGGCTAGGGTCGCCCAAGCTATTGCGAGCGTGAAGATTATCGCGGACTCGGAGTTGGCTGCCCACGACCCCGTTTCGGTTAAGCTTCACCCTCAGCTTGCGTCTCTTCGGGCCCTCACTTTTCGTAGCCCACCTCCTTTCCCCAAAGAACGGCCCCCTGGTCCCCTTCCCCAACCATCCAAGGATTGGGACTTAGTGTCTCGCATGGCCTCCAGAGGCCTTGAGTCGGCCGATAATGGCGACACTGGTAGAACCCAGTTCAACCTTGATGTGTTGTATCGGGAGTGGGGTACGGCCGCTGAGAAGGAGCTCGAGGGTGTGTTTCAGACCCAACTGCCATTTCATGGCACGAGAGGCCGCCAGGCGCAGCTGCGATGGGTCAACGTCGTCGACGCGGCGCATCGCTCGATGGATGGCATCTCGCGGACCTCGCGCGAGGCTACCAGTTTGAGGTGGCTTTGCTCGCGCTACCGCCTTTGGCTTCAGCTGCACGGTCTCGGTTGTCAAGACCTTGATTGTCAGGTGGCGCCTCTCTCCTCCCCACCTTTTGCCTATTGCGGTGATGAAAAACGGTCTTGCTCTGCGAGGGCTATTGATAGCTCACGCAAGGTGGCCAGAGCGACCAGCTCGGAGGAGCGTCGGCAGCAACACCTGCGGGACACTGCGGGCGAGCTGTTCCACCCTCCGTCGAGACTGGGCACCTGGGATGGTGAGCCATTGACTCTCCTCCAGGCTGTGCAAGATATTGTGACCTATAGCCCCCCGTGCCAACCTGTCACTGAGGGAGAACCCCAACGCGTGCTTGATTTGGTCTCCCATGCCCTGGCGGCGGCTGAGAGCAAGTCTCGTCACGATGATCATTTGTACTGGTTGGAATGGATTCGTCACAATATTGAAAACGGCGCCCGTCATGCCCACGGGGTGATTCGGGGAGCTGCTGGGTGGGCCCCCTCTACGACCCTGTCGGCTAAAGGCGAGGTAGTTTCGGACCCTGGGGCCCTTTTATCTTCCGAGCTCGAGAAATTTGCGCGGATCTGGCATGCCCAACCTGTTCCCGAGCCGCGACCTTCTGGCTCCAGATTCGTGCCTCTCGAGCCTCTGCCCGTGCTTTCGGTCGAGGATCTTCGTCGGACGGCCCGTTCGTTTCCTGCTCGTACCGCCTCTTCTGTGGATGGCTTTCATGTTCGGTCGTTTCAGCATCTGTCGGACCCTGCTCTGCAGGTGCTGTCGATCATGATTGCGATTTGGGAACGTTCGGGTCTGTTGCCTGGTCAGATGAGAGTTGTGCTGCTTATTATGCTCGCGAAGCCCGGTGGCGGGCACCGCCCAATCGGACTGTTCGTTGCTTTGTATCGTTTGTGGGCCCGCGCCAGGCGAGACCTTGCTCGGCAGTGGGAAGTGGCCAATGCCCGAGAATACTTTTGTGCTGGCGTTTTTGCCTCCAGTGTCGATACCGTCTGGAGGCAAGGAGTGAGGAGCGAGGTTGCTGTGGCTTCCAAGGACTGTTCTGGGTCTGTCCTGTGGGATCTTCTGAAGTTCTACGAGGCTGTCGACCTCGACTCGCTCCTCGCTCGTTGTCACCAGCATTCCTTTCCCATGCAGATTGCCAGGGTCTGCTACGAGGCTTACCGCTCGTGCCGCTACATGGCCATGAACGGCCGCGTGGAGGGCCCGCAGTTTGCGTGGCGAGGTTTGATTGCTGGGTGTGGATTCGCCACCACTTTCATTCGCGTCTTCACGCTAGCTGCCTTAGACGGCCTTAGCATCCCTAGATCGGTCTCGTTGAGAGTTTACATCGATGACTACACCTTGTCGTGCACGGGGGCTCCCAAGGCCGTCGTACAGGACCTGATCGAAGCTGCTTTCCGATTGCAGGTGGCCATCGAGTCCGATCTTGGTTGCTCTATTTCTGTTAGCAAGGCGGCTGTGGTCGCCTCAGTCCCTCTAGTGGCTAAGGAGATCCGCCGAGGCCTTGGCGCTGTGGGCGGAGCTCCTTGCGCATCTGCTGTCAACCTGGGCATTGACGACGCTGCTGGCAAGCCTCGGCGGACGGCCAGGAGAGGAGCTAAGATTCAGATTCGTAAGAAGGCCTTCAAACCTAAATGTCATAGGTTGAGGGTTCACAGGAATGCTTTGGGGAGACACGCCAAGCGTATATATACGAGTGGCCCCTTGGCCAGCAGAACTTATGGCTGTGAGGTGCATGGCACTTCCGACCATGAGTTGGCGAGTTTGCGGCGATCCCTTGGACGGTTTCTCAGCCCTTCGGCTGGAGGCCGATCTCTCACTGCAGCTTTGCTGTTCGCCGCCGACCCCACTTGGTATTGTGCCGTGGCCCCGATCGTGCGCTGGTCCAAAGAAATCTGGGCCAGCCTGACGGCCTCCTTCGAGTTTGGCCTCAGCTTGGCCGAGCTCAGGGGGGCTTGGAGTACTGTGTTTGCGGGCCCTTCCCCCTCCTGGAGGCGGGTTGGAGGTCCCGTTGGGGCCCTCAGGTTGTCCGTGGAGCGTCTTGGGTGGAAGATGCCCTCTTTCTCTACCTTGGTTGACGATTTGGGGGTGGAAGT